AAGGGCTACTGGCTGTTAAGGACTACGAGGCTCCCTTGTGGCCAGTGTAAAATCTGGCTTTTAAAACAATGCAAACGTACAAAAATGGCCTTTACCAAAAAAAAAAAAAAAAAAAAAGTTGATTTTGCCTACCCCCTCCCAAGAGAGACAGTTAGGATGTAGTGTCTTAAATAGTTCTTATCAATGATCATTCCATGAATTTATGCAAGAGACAATAAAACAAACCTCATTTAATGTTTTGATGAATATTTAAGAAGAGTCTGCAGACATTACCAGCAGATATTAAAGTGCCCGGTATGGATTATACATTGCATTAGTGTTAAAAAAACAAACAAACAAAAAAACCAACAAAACTATACCAATAGAGATGTTTCAATCCAATGGCCACTGAACAAAAAATGCTTTTAGAAACCATAGAAATATAACTACGCTAATAGTTACAGCAGCTGGGAAATAATTGTACTGTTCTATGACTTTTTATAGTGCATTATAATAAAGTACCAACAATGAGAAAGGCTACAACTTCTATTTATGGCACGTCCTCAAACAAAGTTAGGACCTATGGACCTTGAAAGGCTACTTAAAGGAGGGGATCAGGGAGGAGAAAAGAAGGGCATATTTGTGTGTGTGTGGGGGGGGAGGGCGGGAAGCTTAGTTTCCTTATTTCAGGTTAGAAATCCATCGTCTTGGATGTCTCTCTAGGTCAGACAACAGATGGGATTATAAATTAACTAATCATACAAACAGTGCCATCATATTGGGAGATAACTGGATTCTTCTCTCTTCGTACATAAACCAAACAGGCTGTATTCCGGTAATCCATTAAGTAGCCTCATTTGTCAATTCCTTAAACAGAAAAGATTATGCATCAGAAGTACAGAATGTACCATAAAACATATCTTTATAACATGGAATCATTCAGTTATGCTATAAAAGGAATATGCCATAATTTTTACTAGCTCTTAGCCAATTTACAAAAATGAGGCTATAACTAGATGTTTCACATGGCAAATACATACAGTGGAGTCGCATCTTACGCGGGGGTTAGGTTCTAAAGTCAACGCGTAAGGTGAAAATCACGTACAATCAAAATTACCCTTGAAAATCCCTTAAATCGCCCATAAAGTACAGTATACTCAGAGGTGAAAGTAAGCCGGTACGGTGTACCAGCAAGAGCCAGTATGCGATGCCGGACCAGACCGGCTTCCCCAGGTTGGCGATTTAAAGGACCCGGGGCTCCCTGCAGTGGCTGGAGCCCTGGGCCTTTTAAATCACCTCCTGAACCCTGCTGCCAGAGCCCCGGGGTAGAGGCTGCAGGGCTCCGGCGGTGATTTAAAGGGCCCGGGGCTTGGGCCACTGCGAGGAGCCCGGCCCTTTAAAGCGCCGCCCAAGCCCTCCTGCCACTACCCCAGGGCTGCGGCAGCCAGGCTCAGGCAGCGCTTTAAAGGGCCCGGGGCTCCCCGCAGCCAGAGCCCTGGACCCTTTAAAGCGCCGCGGGAGCCCAGCTGCTGGAGCCCCGGGGTAGCGGCGGCAGGGCTCCTGCAGTGATTTAAAGGGCCCGGGACACCAGCTGCTGCAGGCAGGCCCGGGCCCTTTAAATCGCCAGCCTGGGGAAGCCGGTCCGGTCCGGCACAGCGTACCAGCTCTTGTCGGTACGCCATACCGGACCGTACTGGCTTACTTTCACCTCTGACAGTATCTTTAAACACTAGAACCTCACTCAGCACGGCGAGATGCTCACACTATGAGGCGCACCTGGGAACTGAGACAGATTGAGGGAACAGCAGATTCACGTCTCCCATCTCACGCTCACTCTGGGGCATACGCTCATTGAGTGGAATGGTGGGTGGAATCATTTTTCTCTCTTTTTTTTTTGTCGAGCGCGTATAGTTGAATTCGCGTAAGTTAAATGTGCGTATGATGCGACTCCACTGTACTGTTGTAACTCACTATGCCCCAGAGCTTGGGCTGCGTCTCTTGTTGTGTGGTGGAGGAGAGGAGACAACACACAAGATGGGTAAAAGCCTTTAACACCACATGGAGGGGATGACATGGGATGCTCTTGAAATGGGGAATCAGCTTTTCCACAGTTAAAATCCTAATTTAGCCAATTTGCACAGATTTTTCTGCATTTCGTGGTGGGTGCTGTAATGCCCATCTGTACTAGTTTGCAATTTCATAGCCATCTCTGTGGTTGAATGCAGTAGCCACCAGAACACCCAGCAATTTAAGAGACAAAAGGTGAGGAAGAATGTCTCATCCATGCGCAATAGCACGGGAATTTAGGTAGGCAGAATTATATGACATGTTTTGGAACATGGCCTCATCAGCAGGGCTGATGCCGCCTTTTGTGGGATCTTAACTAGATGCAGCCAACCCCTCTGTTTTATACCATCTTTCAGAGGAAGAAACTTGGACAGCACAATGCACCATGCAGAGACGTTGCTTCAGTTCCAACTCTAAGGAAAGAATGCCAATTTTCGCCAAAATAAGAAAATCACTACAAGAAATAATTAGTGCAACTTCAAATAACACCCAAGGTTTTATTTTATTTTATATTTGGTTAGAGATCTCACATCAAGTGAGAAGTCAAACAGCTAAGCTTAAAAAAATAAATCTAATGAGATCGCAGCACCAGGACTCAGCATACTGCATAAGTTACAATGAAAACATTGGTTATTAGATGCACCATTATTTTTTTTTGCCCTGGAGCAAAAGGTCATACTCTGAGGTCTTTAGGTGTTAATAATTAAGTGATTCCTGTTTGATTTCTGGTACAGTGAAACGCAGCGATGAAGTTACTAAGTTAAGGACAATTTACAATTTGGCAGCTGGTGTATAAATGGCCTTGCTGCACTAGTGCTCCAGATACTGTACTAGCAAGGAGAGAGATTCTTTTCCCCCTGCAGTAGCTCTAGCATCACAACTTGCCCAGAAGGCACATAATTAACAACTGTGTTGTTGCCTGGTGCTGATTCACTGCATACAAGACAGGAAATTTAACCCTCTGTTAAATTAAGTAAATTATCTTCTAATTGACACTGCAGCTCCAATGCAGTCATCAAGACTCAAATGAGTCACTGGGGTTACACTGCTGTAAATAAGAAAGAATATAACCAAATGTGACTGTTTTAGGAGGGAAGTACCTTCTAATTAAGGGATTTTTTCCTTTTGAGTTTGTTAACCAGTTTCAATTTTATATTTTTCCCCCTGAAGCCTACCATGTAAATAATACATTAAAAGCCCATCTGTGCATGCTTGCCTTAATTTCTTTTCAAAACCTCTGCTATATTTTTAAGTTTGTCTTTAGTTAGTGAACCCTCACCTCATGATAACTTGAAAACAAGGAGGAACATGATCTGAAGGTCAGAGTGATTCAGAGATTTTGTTTTCCCAGGCCTTTATTCCTGCAGGTGTCATGTGAGAGCTGACAAGACTTAGTTTTAGTGGGTGGGGAGGAATTAAGATTGACATTGGTTCCAAGCATGAGAGTTTAGATATGCACTTACATTACTGGAGAAAGCATTTTTAAACAAATAAACCCAACATTTTGAAAAATAATAATCATAACAAACAGAAGTGGGCAAAGTATTAACTTGCTTCCTAATGTCAAATTTCATATTGTTGCAGGGGTCCCATGTGTGGTCAGGAATCAGTACTGCAATTAAAACTGAAGAGTTTTCTCATTAAGCTTGTTAAAAATTTACCTATTTGTATAAATTTGTTTTTATAAAGTACTGACTTGTAACTGGGTTTTCCAGCCAGGGCCCTCCTTCGAGTGCTGCACTATCCACTTAAGCAGTAGCTCATCAACCTCACTTTCAGATATGTTCCAGAGTTAGTAAATCAAAGGCAAGTCTCTCAATTTGATTTTTACCATAAAACTTTCTGACAAGTGCAGGCCACACACAGTCTTTAAAGACCATGGGAAAAAAAGTAGCATTGAACAGTATGAGCAACAGACTGAATTGAAACAAATTATTTTCAGATCATTAGAAAAGTGTTCCAGAGTCATTAAGGGTTTGGGTCAGTGTTTCAGAAACACTGTTTCAGAAATTTATGGCCACTGTGCTGTTAAGTTATCTGCTTCAGGCTGACAACTTGCCTTTTGTATTTTTTTTTTAAAACAAAAAGCTCAAAATAAGCCACGTGGGTCTCTATATTGTAAGAATGCAAAATAATGTATATAAATAAGACATTTGTGTTTCTGCTATTCAAATACACTATTTTTAAACCTTGTTGATCTACAGTTAACTTCCTTTTAAACAAAAGATCAACTGTGACTGAAAATAAGTATTTACTGCACATGCACACAATTCTTCCCATTTAAAAAAAGTTTTTTTTTTTTTTTTTAAATGCATAGGCCTACTAGGCTCTCTTCTCTTTATACACACGGACAAGTCTAGTTAGTTATATTGGAGGATGCAAAGTGTATATGAGCAAAATTATGAAGCTGTTTAGTTTGCTAAGTCTGTACAAATAGACCAATAGTTCCAAGTGGATCAGAACAGAAAACATATTCAAATTGTTTGAACTCCTATATCTCTTGCAAGGAGAGCTGAAAATACATTTGCCTTTTATGACTTTAAGCAAGGCCCTCAATGTAGTTTAAATGAAAAGAAGTACAGGACACAGGCTAAAATGCTTATTTTAACTCTCAGTTATGCCATGCTACTGCAGAGAATATGATCCTCTGTCAGCGTGCTTCAAAGGGTACATCTTGTATACTGGATGTACAAATCAAATAAAAAAAAAAGCACCATTGACTATACAGTCCAAGTTTGTATGCAGAATTCTGCATAAAAACTTACAGCACAATGGGATGAGTTCCAGCATTCACCTGAATTTTCTTACTAACTATAGTCTTAATTCCCACGCTTCACTTTTCTTTGTGTGCATGAGTACAAAGAGCACTGAAAACTTTCTTGTTGAGAACAAAAGGAAGATAAAATACATTTAAACTAGTGTAGAGACCTTGTAGAATTATCTAGTCCAAATAACTAACCTGAGATGTACTTTGCTCCGATTAACATTATCATGCTACTCACTATATAAAAACCCAAAGGCAGACTAGAGAAGATACTAGAGTCACCTGATATCATCCAGTAGAAGGAGTTTCCAGTCAAGCAAATCAAAAGAGAAATATATATAAATTGCAATATTTGTGTTAAGAATCTCATGAACAGCAAAAAAGTTACAAAAAAAGAGTAGTAACATCTGCAAAAATGTTATTAAAAGTGTTACATGCACACCATATAGAAATAAGCCCAAGCCATATATATTTGAATCTGGATCCAGAATCCTCTAGCTTTCAAAGTTATTAGGTAGAGCCCATCTCTAATATTATTCAGCATAAAGCAACAAGCAACAAGCAGAAAGCAAGTGCAACAATTCCATTGTGTGCTTTAAATCTCTCTCCTTCCCCAAATAAATTTATTATAATCCTAATTTGAGTAGTCTAGCTCAAACATGGTCAGAAATACTTTCACTGATCTTAGGCCAGTGCTACATTTACATTACTAACATGGGTTGAAAATGTCTTTTGCATGGAGCTTGAGTTACAACTTCTCTCTCCCCCTCTGAGGACGGGTTGCCCTTTCACTGAGAGAGGGCAGCATGCTGCATGGACCATTTCTATTGCTCATTTAGCTCAGATCAAAATCAGCCTTATTTTATAGGCCTGAATCTAGACTATTCTTAATTAGTGGATGATTACACTCCAAATCCGGCAACAGCAGTGGGACAGCTTTTGTTTAAATTGAACTTGCTAATACCACATAGTATGAAATGATATGCTACTTTAAAAATGTAGCTACTGTTTAGTTGTTCAGAAAGTTGTTGCTTTCTCTGTATGGGGCATATAGTAAGTCCCATGTTATTTTTACTTCATAAAAAATTAGTACATGGATTCTCAACCTGTGGGTCACAATTCAGGTTTCAAGGAGTTGTGACCACCTTCCTCTCACACCTACTCCCCCCCTCCCCCTTTTTTTTTTTTTTTTTTTTTTTTTTTTTTTTTTTTTTT